CGAAGGTTTTGTGAACATGGCTATTGAGGATATTCAAGATTTATTAGTGGAAGAAGAAATTGACAAAGATTTGATAGAAATGGCATCTGAAGCTGCAGATCAAATCGATTATGAGGACACTACCACTGATGAAGACTGTGAAGTTAATAATTTAACATTAAAAAAATTAAAAGAAGGTCTACGCCTAGCTGAAAATCTCGAGTTATTTTCTTGAGTGCAGGCAGACCCTTCTGCTGAAACAAGCTGAAAATTCAAAAGAGATCTGCAAAACTGTCTAGCTCTATATCGAGAAATTTAAAATGAATCAGTAAGAACTAGTAAGCAAAGTAAAATTACAAATTTTTAAAGACGGAAGAAAATGCCAGAACTTTAAATGATGCAAGAAATTCTGAAAGTGAAAGCGATATTATTCATGAAAAAACGCTCTCTGTTGATTATATTGAGCAATGAAAATGAAGAAATTTATTAAACTAAAGTTGTGTTAAATAAAAATATGTAATATTTTTTGTTGTGTTGTACATACATATATATTTTAATAAAAATTAAGTAGTTTATGTATAATTAAAAATAATTACTTTTAATAAGTTTTTTGGAACGTAACCCCCCTTTTATACTGTCTCTGGGTCTCGTACAACATGGTTTCACACAACACGGCATTTTCTAGGAACCCATCTAATTTGTTATACGAGGGTTACCTGTACATATATTTAAATATACTTTGGTGCAGCCGATTGCAGTCCAAAAGGGTGCATATCTACATGTTATAACTGTCCCACATACAAAATTTCAACATTCTGAGGCTATTCGGTTTTGAGTTATGCAATAATACGCATATACGTACGCATGTACGTACAAACGCCACAAATAAATCTTTTCTGAATCCATTTTAAATCAGTTTTATAATTTGTTTTGGGGAAAAGTTCTTTATTCTGTCCTTACATACAGATGTCATGCAAAAACATCATTAAATTGCATCCGATAGTGATCAAAATGGATATTTTCCTTGAAATGTAGTGCCTGGAAATTTTCGTGATTACAATACTTCTTTTACGTCATACAAGGAAGTAAAAAGGAAGGAACATAAAAATAAATCTAGGTAGCTGATAGATAGGCATTACTTCTTCTCTATGAAAATGTGTTTCTAAAACTAAAACAGAAAACAAATAACACAGCAAAAAAATAGGATGTTTAACTGGAATTACTAGCTACAAAAGAACTTCATCTCTGAGACAACAGCATCACAAAATGCAAACAAACGAATCTCCTAACGAAAAAACACTCAACATTTTGACATCTGGCATCTTTTCTGCAACCAACTTTTAGATTAAGACACAATAACACGCCGAATAAATACTGATTCAGAAGTCAAACAACAAAAATCAGCGTTAATTCACAAAATTTTCACAGGACTAGTTTCGATGGTTTTACCGAACCATCATCTTCAGCTGCAAAACTGCAAATGAACAAGATAGGAAATAATGTTTAGATAAGATAAGAAAGCCTGGACAAGAATAAGCAAGTGGCGCCATCTGTTGGCGAAACCAGAACTAAAACATAATTTCTCTAAAAGCCGAAGGCAAATTTGGATTGGAATTAGGATCGTTAACTAGAACAGAAAGATTTTTATGAATGTGAAATGCCTCTAGAAAATCAAGTTCTCCAATGGAAGATGTTTTTTGAATAATTTTGGCAGCAGAAAAATTGAAAGTGTGATTTTCGGACTAACAATGTTGAGCAACAGAAGACTTCTGTGTTTCCTTTTTTCTAACATATGCCTCATGTTCTTTGACGCGAAATTTTAAGGCTCTCTTAGTTTGACCAATGTAAATTAAACCACCGCACTGGCAAGGAATCCTATAAATACCCCAGGAATTCATATCCGGAATGGGGTCCTTGAGTATAGAAGTTGGAATTTTATTGATGGGAGAGTAAACAACCCGAAAGTTAAATTTCTTTCTGCAAAATATGTGCAAACTTTATAGCTAATTGATGGAAAGAAGGGAATGACAACAGAATTTTTATAATCTCCTAAAATAAGAGTGTGGCTTTTAGTGTGTTGAGATGAGAATTTTTTAACTGCTTGATTAATAATGTCTTCTTTCCATCAATTAGCTATAAAGTTGCACATATTTTGCAGAAATTTAACTTTCGGGTTGTTTACTCTCCCATCAATAAAATTCCAACTTCTATACTCAAGGACCCCATTCCGGATATGAATTCCTGGGGTATTTATAGGATTCCTTGCCAGTGCGGTTTAATTTACATTGGCCAAACTAAGAGAGCCTTAAAATTTCGCGTCAAAGAACATGAGGCATATGTTAGAAAAAAGGAAACACAGAAGTCTTCTGTTGCTCAACATAGTTGGTCCGAAAATCACACTTTCAATTTTTCTGCTGCCAAAATTATTCAAAAAACATCTTCCATTGGAGAACTGGATTTTCTAGAGGCATTTCACATTCATAAAAATCTTTCTGTTCTAGTTAACGATCCTAATTCCAATCCAAATTTGCCTTCGGCTTTTAGAGAAATTATGTTTTAGTTCTGGTTTCGCCAACAGATGGCGCCACTTGCTTATTCTTGTCCAGGCTTTCTTATCTTATCTAAACATTATTTCCTATCTTGTTCATTTGCAGGTTTGCAGCTGAAGATGATGGTTCGGTAAAACCATCGAAACTAGTCCTGTGAAAATTTTGTGAATTAACGCTGATTTTTGTTGTTTGACTTCTGAATCAAATTTTAGATATTAAGAGACATGCTGATTACACTAGTGATTTTCAAAATGTAGGTGGAATAAATGCTTATTAACCTGGAATTTATTAGGAATTAGTTTATTTTCATACATAAGAAAAGCTGTTCACACTGATATGTACTACCTAACATGGAAATTGCATATGATGCAAATTTTCAGCTTATGAGAATAATGTAAGCAAGTATTTGTAAAGTTTGGGGATACCTACTCCACTGAACTTTTCTTTAGAGCCAAGGTGCATTAAATTTCTATTAATTCTTTCTGTAAATGGGCTGATATTTTCTCAACGTCAATTGGAAAAGGGACAAAAAACTGGAAAAGTATATTCTCAATGGTCTAATACTACGAAGCCTATTTTCAAAGCGAGTCAGTCTTTATTTATATCTTGGATTATAATAGGGATGTTCATTTTTATTTCTTCCAAAGTATATGCATTCTATAAATGCACAAACTATTTTAAATATGTCTTAAAAAGTATTCTAGAACCAGTAAAATCGGCAGATCTTTGTGGCTATAGTCATTTAAATATGATTCTTGTTGGGTTGGGAGGGGGAGGTTATCCACTTCATTAATTTCATTGTGGAATATGCTATATGACATGTCATACTATCTTACTGTAGCCAGAAATGACATTTGTCTTCCTTTAACCCCTTAACCTACGATTTAGATTCGAAGATGCTGGGCCGAAATTGTATACAAGCTCGTGCAGCGTTCGAGACATTTGCACAACTTGTGAAACACGCTAATCCGGGCAATCGTAAACATGACGAATTATAAAATTTTCAAAGAAAGTATAGGCGAATAATTATTGATGATATATCTGATGATGATCAACTACCAGAGTCCTGGCTTTGGAAAGAAATAGTCCAAAAGTCTAGGACTATACAATGACTCCTGGCACAAGAGAGGAAGCCTTATGTCAATTAGGAGGAAGTAGAGGAGAATTTGATATTTTTAATTTAATATTTGATGACATATTTTGGAACAATATTGTAACCGAAACGAATCAGTATGCAGATCAAGTACGAGAAAATCCACATAGAACACGAGTGTAAAAAGTGCAAAGTTCCGTTACATGTACCAGAATGCTTTGAAATATATCATATCGTTACAGATTACTAATTTTGTATTTTGGAGTTTTGTATAAATAAGCATTTTGTAATACTTAAGTCTACCACAATTATTGCGTATCAAATATTCCACGTAATATTCACTTCTGGCCCGATCACCGTATGCGGGCTATGGCCGTGAAAGTTAGGTTTGGCCCGACCATCGTACGCGGGCTATGCCCGTGAAAGTTAAGTTTGGCCCGACCATCGTACGTGGGCTATGCCTGTGAAAGTTAAGTTTGGCCCGACCATCGTATGCGGGCTATGCCCGTGAAAGTTAGGTTTTGGCCCGACCATCGTACGCAGGCAATGCCCGTCATTGTAGATTAAGGAGTTAATAGGAATGAATCATCAGATAAAATTTAAGGACTAGAAGAAATTTTGCAAGGACTTCTTGAATATCACCCATTATGTCTGCTACTGATAAACAGATCTTCTTTCATGTTTCACATTCAATTTAGATCCAGTTTCCCAAAATGTTTCACCCAGTTTTTCAAATGAGCTTGTGACTGGTGTTTCTCTTCCAAATTTAGTGAAATATTAAATACAACACTGAATATAGGCTATTGATCTACATTGTTAATTTATAACAATAAAACAGTCAAAGAGACATAACCAAAAAAAAGATGATGTTCAATATGGTGCTTCCTGCAAATGATTCATCACACCTACTTCTGCTTCCGAAAAATTCATGCTTTCCTCAACAAACAAGTTCACAAATCACTTAAATGTCATAGCTCAATATAAAAGTCAGAGAGCAAAATATGTTGAAAATCACATACTTGTAAACCTGAGGTCCATTTTAAAATCAAACATACTGTGCACGCATATTTCAAAAAACTGTATTCTTGAATATGTTTTTCACTAAATGAAAATTTCAAATTTTGCATTAATTTGAAACTTACCATCTGAATAAACTTTCTCCCCTTTTTCTTCTTCTATGGAAGCATTTAAAAACTTTTTAGAATTCAGAATCAGGAAAATTTAGCATTCATTCCATCATTAAAATTATTTTCTTAATAGCATATCATCAAATAATAACAGAAAATCAATAAAAAGTAAAAGTCAATGGTTTCTTTAGAGGCGGAAGAAAGAAATAAGCCTTGTCATGTTTTCCACAATCAAAATTTAACTATAATTACCAGAATATCATCAACATAGGCAATCACCACATCGGACAGCAGCATTTCCTGCAGAGCATTGTTAATTAGATCTAAATCGGGCAGAATTTCCACGCTCCTCTGTTTGTTATGCTTGGTTTGTTGAGCTATTTTCACTAAACAGAAAGTAAGCAATTATTACATGGATACTTACAATATAAGTTTTGATGACATTAGTTGCATATGCAATACAAAAAGGATATCAACATTTGATTAAATATTGTATCAGATCATTTTTTCCGATAATAATTTTATACACGACAGATTGCATATAATCTGATGTATTAGACTAATAAAAAATCTACATCTAATTCTGAAAAATGTTAATGTTTCATCAATTATGAAGATGAAAAATCATTAAACAAATAATTCATTTTGCATAAATCTGATAATTGATCCAGTCCTCAATCTTGCACAAATTCAGTAACCTGCAAGACTGTTCTCAGTCACACTGGTGTGGTAAGTATCTTAAAATAGATGATTAATAAAAACATTTACATAATTTTCCATTTTATTACTGTCTTACATTTCAGTTTGTTGGCTTGCTTCAATTATGGCAAGCACTTGAAGGCGATCTGTCTAAGGGGAGGGATGAAATTCTATAATTTTAGTCTCTGTTTTCATAAATGCCTTTATTAAAATAATATTTAGATTATTAAAAAATGCAGAAACAAAATATTTTAAGTAATAAGGTAATATACACCAAATAACAAAAACTTTCATGACTGAATAAAGGCAATTATACCACTTATGGGGTTAACAAAGAACATTTATTTTCATACCAAAAATTTACCCAAAAGACCACTATTTTAATCAATCACTCAAAATGATATGATAAATGTACATATTTAGCTTCGGATTTTCTACACTGCATCTTGCAAAAAAATAAAATTATCACATTGGAAATGCTGATGAAATATGATACATGACTGATTATTATTAATTCACTTTAAAACTGTACCTACATTTGATAAAATATCAATTATTACGTAAATTATATTGCATGCATTTTTTATACATAAAAAAGTGGCACAAAAAACCAACATGCATTATGAATTTCAAAATAGAAACAATAGAAACATTTTTTTAAATGGAACAAAATACAGATTACATTTACTTAAATGAAGTATTATTCAACATATTACACATTTCTGCCAGAAAATTTAAAACAAAGGCGGCTGCATTTAAGATAGTATTCTAATGGAGTATATAACCAACCAATCACAGAATCAAGGCACAAATTTCAAACAGACTTGAAATTTAATTTAATTTTAGCAGGTAATATTGCATAAAACAAATTTGGCACAATTTTCAGTAATTTAAAATTAATTGCATATTAAGTTGACTACTCAAGTATTGGTTAAGATTAGGTACCCCAAAACATTTTTAGCTATAAAAGACACAACTTTTAACAGTTGCATTTTGAAGAAGCTAAATACAAAATTATTCTTTCAAGAAAATGTTTCTCTTCTATCAAGAACCGTTTTATTAACACATTGTAGTCGTGACACGTAAAACTACATTTTTCACAACTGTGCATAGAGGGCGGATCATGTAGTAATACATTTTTTATGGACTGGTGGTAGAACGTGGGAAATGTAGCTAATACGAGTTACTACATGTGTGTATGTTTGTTATGCCACTTATTTATACATAGAACTATGCAGGTATAAACATTCCCACAATAGGTATTACATTAGGTATGGGACGGTAAGGTCATAAATAATAGCGATAAATGAGCTCATCACAACACATTATATCTGCAAATTTACGAATTTTGAGACATTTACATTATATCATGAACAGGACAACTCATAAAATATGGCATACTACTGAGAATGTTAACTGAGAGCAATGCAGGATACATCTGTAATTTTGCAATTTATTCTGGTCAGGGGTCACGGCTGATAGAGATAATACAGACAGTTGTATCTCCATATACAGATGTCTGGCACCATCTGTATATGGATAATTATTATAATAGTGTTGATAACACTCAAGCCCTTTTGCAAAAAAAATTACAGTATGTGGAACCATCAGAAAAAATAGAGGTTTACCAGAGAGTCTAAACAAGACAAATCTGAGAAACGGAGAGACAATCTTTCGTTGTAAAGGGGATATTTTACTTCAAATCTGGGAATCAAAGAAAGAAGTGGGCCTTATTTCGTCTATACAGTCGGCGGAAATAAAAGAAAGTCACAATATTGACAGAAGAACACATAAAAAAATAACTAAACCAAATGCATTGATTGATTATAACAACTTTATGAAGGCTGTTGACCGTGCAGATCAGTATTTGTCTTATTATTCAATACTACAGAAAACGACGAAATGACAGAACGAGCAACAATGTACATGATTAATTGTGCATTGTTCAATTCCTTTGTTGTCTATAATTCAACAAAAAGCAACAAAGTAAAATATAAGAAATTTTTATATTAAGTAGCTTTGCATTGGGTTAGAACTGGGTTAGAAAGGCAGATTCGGTACGAACGAAAGATACAATCAAGAGCCAAGTCCATCCACTTTCAGGAAAAGGGCGCCTAAACAAGAAGATTGTCGATGGATATAAAAAAACACGTTCTAGAAAAAATTGTTGGAACCGGGAAAAAAAAAAAAAAAAATTGCGAAAAGATAATGTCGAGTGTGTGCATCTCAAAAAATGTGAAGTGAAACTTGTCTTATGTGTTAATTTTGCGGCGTACCTCTTTATAAAGGTAAATGTTTTGAGCACTATCAGACTATAAAACATTATTAGCGTTCATTATTTACTTCATTAAGTTATTTGTTTATTGAAAAATTTTGGTAATAAATAATATTGACAAAAATTATAAATTTTTCCTTTTTTTGTACTTTCAATTGTATATTCTATATTCATTTATACAAAAAGTGCCTATCTTTCATAATAATGATGAAGAATACATTCTAAGTTGAGAAAATCAGTTTCATAAAAAAATTCATAGTAGTTTTCAATTTATAGTGATTTTAAGTAATGACAAAATTTGCGAGGATTTTTCAAAAAATCGGCTGCTCTCGCTATAATGCACCAATGCAAAGCGCCCAACAATGTATTAAGAGTAAAATTTGTGTAACCTCTGAAGGTCGTATTGCATTCAAAAGATTTCAAAAGAACAACTCTTTAGAACAAATTTTCCATCTTGTCACAAGATATGAAACAGCCAAACATCATGAATCATTTTGGGGTTACCATGTAAAGGAGAAACTCTATCTCTAATACAAATAATTGATAATTAGAGATAATAACTGATTGGTTGTTGAAAATGAACACTTCACAATTTTTTGCAAAAGAAAAAAAAAAAAAAATATGGATCTTTCTTTCAATGGTAAATCAGGTAGGAAAATTGTTTGAAACATTTGTTTGTCTGAAATAAATGGACGTGTGATACCCACTTTAAATTGCTGTGTTTAAAAGTACAGTAAAATAAATAGTAACATATATGAAATAAAGAATTACTTCCAACAAGTTCTGGTTCATAGCCAACAATTTCTACTTTGCATGGTGTAAACATAGTTCCTGTATTCTTTCCGGGAACCCCAAAATTTGTGCTAAAAAAAAAAAAAAAAAAAAAAAAAAAAAAAAAAAAAAAAAAAAACAAAAAAAAAAAAAAAAAAAAAAAAAAAAAAAAAAAAAAAAAAAAAAAAAAAAAAAAAAAACAAAAAAAAAAAAAAAAAAAAAAAAAATAAAAAAAAAAAAAAAAAAAAAAAAAAAAAAAAAAAAACATATTTTAATAAACATACTACTGAAAAAAAATTGCTGTTGTTTTATACATTAATAGAAGATGAAATATACTATCCAAAAGATAATACATTCATTACCAAGATCAATATTTATTCGTTGATATTTTAAAATAAAAATTTATATAAAAATTTTAGCATGTATTAAAACCCTCCGCATACGGCTCCCATGGGATGCGAAATCCGTCTCATTATACGGTCACGTGAAAATAGCGTGTGTTAAGTTTATTTCTCTTATTTTCTATACGGATCCCACTTTTACTCAGTGTATGCTAAGAATATTTTAATAGTCATATTTCACATCTCGTTTTGCACCTACATGGCGCTACAGGTTTATATCATTGTAAGGGAGTACTATTGCTTCTTTCATTCTTGGTGGGAACTGTCTTTATCATTTGCAGAACCAGGATTTGAGGTTTATAAGTAATAATAATATGTAAATACAAGTAATATTACTAGCTATACAAACTAGTTAGCATGTAGTTCAATTTATACTTCTGCAGTTCAGAAAAGTTCACAACTTGTAAAATATTTAAATACATTCTAAAACCGTTCCATATTTTACAACACATTAGAATTCACATTTTGAATTATGTTGTATACACTCGATTTTATATTTCCAAAAATAACCAACCGTTAATTGTCAATGTCTTTTTGCCGTTTTTAAACTTTTAAAGTTTTCAAATAAGTAAACAAATTTTCGACGAATTACAATATTTGTATTCAGTATATATTGCATTGTATTTTAAGTTTCTAAATCTTGTATCAAATTCTTAAAAAGATATGAATAATTCATATTCATTATGGATATTTGCTTATAAATTTAAAATATATAACTTTTTTTACATGGCCTCCATGTCATTAAAAAAACAAACAGAACTTTTAAAAAAAAATTTGAAGATGAAAAAGGAGTTTTAAATGAAAACTGGACGGAGGAATACTTTTTCTACTGAGCAGAATAGTAAAGCACGTTGCTTAATTTGTAAGGACTTTGTGCCAATTTTTAAAGACTACAATTTGAAACAACATTATATAGTTCAACCGCCTCATCAGCAACCATGAGCGCAAACATGCATGTGTCATTCGGACCGAATTATTCTCAAAATAGGATGGAAGGGTGGGGACTTTCTCTCCCTCCAGCATAGCTCTTTCCGGAGAAGAGAAGACCTTTCACGTCGCAGCAAGTAATACCACCCCTTTTGTACGAGTCTATGTGTTTTGTCAGAATGCCAACCAGAGTTGCGCTTTAAACGGTCGCACTATAGTCAAAAGCATGCCGCAAAACCACTCAGTCGAGTGGGCAGAAAAAAAATCTTTGGAATGAAGATTATGACAAATTTTCCTTTTCTTTACTTTTTGAAAACTGACTCTTTCTAACCATTCAATGCCCATTATTTTAATATTATACCAACCAAAAGTGTATCTGTAAAGTTTTTCAAATTTTTACAGGTAATAAATTTCACAGGTTTTTAATATGCTGCAATATGACTACAAGTAGAAGGGAAAATTCCTGTTCAACCTGAGCATCCTGCTATTTCCATCGAAAACACCCTTTTGAGGTTATGGCACCATTAATATCATGAATTTCTTTGCAAAAAATTTTCCCCCTTCCATATACATTTCTCTAAATTTTTTTTTTTTTTTTTTTTTTTTTAATTAAAGATTTTTCCCCCTTCCCTAAGGAAGAATTATTTGCAAAGAAATTAGACTTACTCTACAGCAATGGATTACAATCTGTTTTGCTTCACGCAAGCCTTTCACCACTGCTAGAAGATTCTTTCCAAAATTCAAAAAATAAATGTACATTTAATAAGATTATTTTTAATATACTTGGTAAATCTTGAAAAGTATAGAAAACATTGATAAACATCGAAAATTGAATAAAAATAGTTTTTATATTCATAAACTAAAAACTAAAAACCACAGATAAATCATAAATAATTCATAAACTAAAAACCACAGATAAATAAAATTTGACCACATCCCCCCCCCTGGAACTATGAAATTCTTCCACTAAGAATCTGCCTCTGGTTGAGAAAACCTGCTGTAGAGATCTTATCTTGCAAATGCTATTATACTTTTGCTTCCCTCCCCCCAAAAAAATCTTGCACTCTTTACTTGTTTCATTTTATTAATAAAATGTGGCAACAACCAAGCCAAGTATCTTGGCTCGAGAATTTAACATTTGAAATATTATGGCTTGAGAATACTAGTTTTCATTTGAAATATCGCTGCTCATTACTTTGAATATTTTTTATTTACGTTTAAAATATCATGGCTTGAGATTTCTAGTTTTCAATTGAAATATCGTCACTGGATATTTTTTTTAATACAATGGATTGCATAATTTGGCAGTTTCCTGATGATGAAGAGGCTGCCACTTTCAGAATAAAGGAATAATTAATAGCAACAGACTTTGTTCTCAAAATCATTGGATGAAGTTAACTTTTGACTCGAACAAAGCTCCTATTTATACATACATACTTGCTGTGAAAAAAAAAAGGATTGAGAACCAAAACATGGTTTGAAGGCTCGCATCTTACTTTCACCAATGCTGTTTGTTTCATCTATCTGTGGTATTAAAAACTGATGGCGATTGAATTTTGTAAACTTCAATTAGACATGAGACATAACATGACAGTAGATAGGAATAACTACTTGGTATGCTCAAATACTTTGATGTCCCGTAAAAGAATTAAAATCAATGAAGCCAACAAAATTGTAAAAATAGTTGAAAGATTTTTTACAAGAAGGAAAAATAACGCTGGATGTATTCAACCAGAACAATGGTTAATCAGGGGTTTATGCCAGAAAAACACAGAATGTTTTCTGGTCATCATTCCTGATCGTTGTACAGTCAAATACTGAAAATCCGCCGACCTGAAATCCGCATTGCCTCTCAAAATATAACATTCACTTTATACGTTCCGGAAACCGCAACATTGAGTACAAAATATTGAAGAAAAAATACTTACCGAATAATGACGTCATAATTACCGAATAATAATGAGTCATAATGGAAATACCAAATTATTGACATCATGATAAAAGTTTTTTCTCCTCTAATCTGCATCGAAGTAAGAAAGCAGACGATTCACTCAACTCTTCTTTCAAGTTCACGATTCACGTTGTTGTATTTTCTGAGCTTGTGAAACACGAGATTATTTAGTGTTGCCTTTTTTTATTCGGATATTTTGTGGATAAATTAATAATATTTTAAATTTCAGCCCTTTTTAATAAAATTACAGATTAGAAACACACTCATGATTTTACTGCTTGCAACGTTGAAAAACGTAAACATGTTGCATTGACGGTAATGCAAAAAGTGCAAATTCTGCAAAAGATGGAGACAGATACGACTCCTCGGTTTATAGCAGAATCGTATGGAATTGCGATACGACTGAGTATGATATACAGAAAAATATAGAAAAGCTGTTGAAATTTTACGGCAACAGTGATTCTAACATCGAAATCCGAAATCTCTGCATGAGGCGAAATCAGAAAACATCGATGCTGTGTATATGTATACAATAAATAATATAATCAGTTTATATACGTAATAATAATTTAATGCATATAATAAGTTATTGAAATAATGTATATAATATTTTAATTAAATGTATCTAATACACCTTATTTATCTTGCATTTTTAGTCTGAATATTATGATTTATCTTTTCTGTCTTGAAATCCTCACAACCTCTGGTTCCAAGCTTTGCGGATTTCTGGAATTCTACTGTACTACAACATTGATGACTGTCATTCAAGAAAAGACTGTGGATGGCAGCATTATATTTTCAGGCTGCTGGAAAGGATATAAGCAAGAAGAACTAAGAAATGCTGGCTATTGAACATTTCACTGTGAATCCCAGACATAATTTTGTAGACCCCAAAACTGGATGCCATACCCAAACTGTGGAGCGACTGTGGGGAAGTGCTAAATGAAGAAACAAATGTCAGTAGGAAACTGCTCGCCACCATTTAGAATCATATTTAATAAAATTCATGTGGCATCGACTATATTCAAAAACTCAATATCCTTTGCAATATTGAATGATATTCATGATTTTATGCTACCTATTTAGATTGTATTTCATTTTGTTTTTATATTTTTTATTTATGTGTAGAATATTCTAAGTTACAAAATTAAAAATTTACTTTCTTTAAGAATTAAGAAGTTTTTTAAAAAAAATTTATTTTATACAGAAGTAATTTTTTTTATTCTTTTGAAACTCTATTATTATTTTATAATTTAAAACTTGACGAGAATTGGCAGCAAAAAATAATAATAATAATAATATAATAATAATAATAATAATAATAAATAAATAAAAGTGGCCTGCTTTTAACTGATGCTGCTCTAACGGAATAGTACCATATTTTTCTTATATTATATACTAATAAATTTCAACAGAAATCTCATTGAATTAAAAACTACATATGCCTTTACTGTCAGATTGACAGCATTAATACTAGAGAAATAATTAGCATTAAGGAAAAAAAAATCTTTAAAATAAAGCATAACTTCAGTTGTTTGAACTTTTTGATACGAAAATCTAATATCAAAACAAAATTCAATTCTAATTAATATGCCTGATTTGGTCAAAATAACATAATAACCCCCCCCCAAAAGAGATACATCAAGTCATCCTTGTAAGATGGTTTGATGTACAAGAAAGTTTGGCATCAACATTTGAGTTTTGATCGAAACCTAATGATTATCAAAGTTCTATTATAATCAACAAACTGTAAATTTATTTTCATGAAACTACACTCCCTCTGCAAAATTAGCTCTAAGATTATTTTAACCAATTCTATTCCCAACATATCATATATGGTGCACTTGAGTTTCCTTCTGCATATTCACTAGATCAAATGAGATACAGAAATGAAGTACAAAATGTCACTGTTATTAACTTAACTCACTTCACTAGTTATATTCTAACACAGAAATTTTATTTGAAATTTTTGAACTTAATAGCATCAGACAACTTAACACTGTACTTACAACTTAATAAAACATAATGCTTAACACATGCCTTGATACATAAATTATCAGATTTACATTTGTGAGCATTTCATGGTTTATAATATGTATGCATTGATCTTTTCTATTATTTGGTTTCTGCTTCTTTAATCTCTACTATGAAATAATAAAAATCTGTTTGTACGTTCCTCATATCGCGGATGAACAACACCAAAAGCCGTCAAATTTTGGATAGACATGATCCTTTCACTGGAACATGTGCACCTTGAAGCCTGAATTTCTTTTATTATTATTTCATATTTTACACACATTTAATGAATACTTGATTAAAACCTCAGCAATCTCAAAGTAGCACTGTTCGAAACAGAACATTTCTATCACCAGCATGCCAGATTATTGCCACTTAGGAAAATGAAAGATATTTATCTTTCAAGATTAATAAAAAAACTCAATTATTTAAAAGCAATATATTGCTTAAAATAAAATACTTTTATCATGCCAGTGTATAAACACAGTTCTAAAGAATATTTTTCATGATTTTTAACCTGATTTAGATAAAAATGCATGTAAATTAGAAGATGTATAATTAAAATTATTAAATATTTTTATTAAATTACACTAAGGTCTTAAAATCACAATACATTTTTTCTGTTTTATGAAAAGTATTTTAGGTACCTGGCTACGCAAGTGGCTAGTGTATTAAAACAACTTGAATAGAAAATAAAACTATTCGTAACATATTAACAATAGTAACTATTTGTAATATATTACTACTAGTAATACTGCACTTTATCTTATTTTTTACTTTTACTTTCCTTGCACGAAACATGATTTTCCGTTTATACACAACGTAATAAAACTTAAAGGGTATACAGTACAAGGTTTGTAATTCAGACCTCAAAGCTACAAACTTTATGTGCATACGCATGTGCGTTTAATGTATAATGATGAATGGTATAAGCTAGGCTAAAATTATCCATGGTTTTGAGCCATAGGCACTCCGTAACTTATAATCATTGGCATAAGGCATTTCAGTTAATGTTGCAGATTGCACTGTTCCTTAATCTTCTAATTGGATCCGGCTTATTATTTTTTGCAGACTGTTAAAACAATTTTATAAATTAAGCTTGAACTTTCGATTATGTCAAAAAGAGTTTCCGATTCTGGAGCCGAGTAACAGGGTGGTATACTTTTGGTGCGGCCGATTGCAACCAAAATACGAGGTACACATCTACATGTTACAGCAGTCCTATATACAAAATTTCAACGTTCTGAGGCTACTCTTTTATGAGTTATGCGAGATACGTACGTACGTACATACAGATGCCACGAAAAATTCTCTTTAGAATTCATATTAAATCAGGTTTATAATTTTTTTGGGGGGGAGGGGGGAAAGAGTCCTTTATTTTGTTCTTCCGTACAGATGTCATGCAAAAACATCGTTAAATTGCATTCGATAGTGGCCAAAGTGGATATTTTCTTTGAAATACAAGACCTGAAATTTTTCGCAATTACAATACTTCCTTTTTACTTGGTACCAGGAAGTTAAAAGGGGGGCAGAATTGATTTTCATTAAATTTTTAGATATGTGTCGCAATTCTATAAGACAATTATTGCTCTAAGCAATGTAATTTCAGTATATCTTATACTTACCATTATGCATGATTCTTATGTCTGAAAGTTGAACTGACATGTGCATCAAATAACAAACACTTAATTAGTTTACTCACCACAAGAAAAGCTTCAAATAGGTGCATGCTGACATGTTTTCTTTTCCAAAAGTGTAATTACAATTTTTGATTTACTGACATGCGAGTAAATAAGAGCTATGAGTAAAATCACAAATCTTCTTAAAAATAACAAATAAAATAAAAATGTTAACAATATTTGATTGAGTAAGGACTGAGGAATATACTACATCACTTTTCCAGGAGGCATTTTACCATATACTCAAATATGGAAAAATGGCTATGAAATGAAAACTACACATATGTAACTAGTTTGAGCTGCAATGCGAAAAAGTTGCAATAAAAACTACAGCATACATTTTGATTAACTGGTTTTCAATGGTTAAGTAAGTGGCTCCAGAATATTATTTGTAATATTCTTATACAATTTATTTACTGTTGGGTTGAGCAACTGACATCAATTAAGTAGTATGAGAAACAACTCAAAACTTTCCAAATATGAATGAAAAAGATAATAGCTGTGAGTAGAGCCCACCTTTTTTTAAAGTTAAAATTTTTTTTATTTACCATTGACAGAAAGAGATGCAAAATTATTCTTCCAAAAAAGAGGCTTTATAATGGGGCAATGAAAATAGGGAAAGACCAAATTTAACCAGTTAGGCAAATAGACATGCAGTGATCCAAGGTCATGGGACTACTACGTTTTACTCTATACCAAAAGTAAGATGGTTAATCAAATTTGCTCCACATAAAAAATTAAGAAAACTATTGTTATAAAATATGAAAGCTCATAGAAAAGTGGGAAAAAATCTGTTTATAAAAATCATGAAATATTACTTATTTTTGAAGTTTAATGTATTGATGAAACAAAAGAACTTATTCTTACCTTGTAAATGCTTTCCATGTGACACTTCCTTCAGATAATGAGGTATCAACTGTTAAGTGAATAGGATTATTTGTTTCTCGGCTATAATAATCATGAATTAGAACAGAGTGACCAGTCACATCAGCTCCAGTAGCATACCTGAAATAGCACAAACAGATAATGAATCTTTCAGCCACGGTGATAAAAAAGGGGTTACCGATACATACACAGTTCATTCAATGTCAATAACTATGTGGCTAAGAAAACAGAAAACCTGATAAAATTCTGTATTTTGATGAATCCTTCTACGTAAATTAGAAGAGTAATGGAAGAACAACATTTTTGCAACATTCCTTTTAGGTATTGCTATACCTGTTAAAAGACAAAGAACTGCAGGATCTTTACCATGAACTTTATGTATCCTGCTATCTGCCTCATACTCAGAAAGTAGAATGCATATGGGGGACTGGAAAAATTGGGGTGACAAAAAGGACAGGGAGACGGCTCACTATCACTAGAATCTTACCTAAAAGAGTTTATGCTCCGACCTCACATCCCTTATAATAATGTATTTGTTACATCATTAGCAGGAACTGCTAAAATGTGGCTAACATAAAGTGACTGTTTAAAATGAATTTTGGAAATATTAATAGAGATTATTTATTTTAAATTGCTTACAAAACTGATTAAATAAAGTAGCAAATACAAATTTATATTAAATTACTTATGCCTGGATACAATAAATAAGTTGCATACTGCAGGCATAGGATGAACTGCTTGTGTGTATTGAAAAGAGTCTGCTTCTTCCAAGTCTCAACTGCCTTGGTCACTACAATGCAGAAATATCAATAACTCTTTTAAAATTTTTAAACCATACCCAATGTATTCAAATATTGGTAAGAGTATTATAATTATGTAAAGCAAGAAATCCATATAGAGCTATAGTCTAAATCATCATACAAATATTTTAAACAATTGTTATGGCTTCTCTAAATGGTAATCATATTTAAATATGCAAGAACTTTTAATGTCTCTTACCATCCGACAATAACTTCACTTGGATTAACTTTCTTGTGCAATTCGTACATTGCTTTAGCAAATTCCATATCCACAGCAACCTAAAATGTAATACAAAATTAACTACACTACATATTACAATTAATATATTAAACGGTGCTTGTGTATTATCCTACCACACAGCCCAGTAGCACAATTTAGAGCCAGTTATAGATAACCAATCATGTCTTTTAGAATCCCATACAAAGAGTGGCATCCACTGCCCAAATAATATGTTAAGTACCATTTAAACTCTATTAATAGGCATTTAAAAAATTTCATAGAAATGGGTAAGTGTATATTATACACAAAAACTCCAGGCTCAGATAAGTATTAACTACAAAAGCAAATTTCATTTATCTTAAATTATTAAAAAAATTAAAATGTATTATAACATTCATATGTACATAATTGTACTGCTAATACTGACCTGAAAATTTTAAGGGAAAAAAAAAAAAAAAAAAAAGAGAGAGAGAGAGGGAAATGTTAATGTAAAAATTACCCATTAATGAGTTTTTTTTCCCCTCATAAATTTAACACATTTATTTATAGCGTATCATTCTATAAAAATCTAATAATGGAATTTAGCCCCTCTTTTGATGAAAATTAACATTCACCCTAGTCAAATCATTCAAATACTTTAGAAAAATGTAGAATACAATGAAAAACATTATATCATAATCAAACTTCAGGATATTTGATTAAAATACAAGAAATCCTAGGATAATCAATATATCATGCATGTATTCCATCTTTCAAGCAAATGACTAAACTAGACAGATATTACACATATTAACTGTCACAATTCTGACTGTTCTTTTCTGACGACTTCTTTAAATCAAGCAAATTGTCAATTCTGCAAGATGCATATCAGCACACCTTGATACTGAAGCTTTACAAGAATTCTAACCAGGATTTATACATATTTGCTATCAAAGGTGATATGGTGCATCTGTTCACATATACCAAGATCCTATCTTTATAAATATATATCCATATAATCAGCAAAAAAAATGCAGACCCCTGTTCCATCTTTAGATCAGAACTTATTGCTGCTAATCTTTGGAATACGGTAGTTTGGCAACATTTTGGTAAGGTTATAAAGGTTACTAGCTAGGACTTTAGCAGTATACATGGATAAAGTCAAGAGTGTGCACAATGCCATTTTTGTGCAATTCTGGGATGTTTTTTTAAGTGAAAATAGGTCGACGTGTACATGGACGATACTGTGTATGTGCAATTCTTAAAAACGCGGCAAGCAGTGGGCGATTCTGCACTTTGTCCCAATTTCGCATCTAATCTTCGTCATGATTAAACACTTTTGTTCCATAAAAGTTCTAGCATAAGCGTAATTCGGCTAGCAGATTGTTGGAAAAAAGTGTTGAGTAAAAAAAAAAAATGCCTTCGTGAAAACAAAATGGCATCCAAACAAAAACTAGCAGGTTGCTGTAGCAGGGTTCGTCGCAAAATAATTTACCATAATCCAAAGATTAACCCTTATTGCTATCAGTGGCACTCTCAACTATGCTCTCAGCTCTACTAGTGAAAACATATGAATTGGAAACAGAAGCTGCTTCCAATACTAAATAATTGGCCAAAGATTATGGAAAGCATTGATTAAACTATTACACTCATGTCCATAAATTAAGGATAATTCAGAGTCACGCGGAAATCGAACTCTAAAATAAACATATCACCTGTAAAATCACTACACGCATCTTCAAGAATCATATGCAAATTTCAGGAAGTAACCAGATGTCACTGATGGTACGTCACAATGACGAGTGTAGAAGGAGTGATAAGGATAAGGCAACAGGCAAACTAAATGTTCGCAGGCCATTACAAGCATTTCAGTGCAATACCCAAAGTTATGACACAAAGAACGCATTCGGATGATTTTTTACATGGTAGAACTATTGGCCGTCGGAATGTGGGCGTACCCTGGAAGTACTCAGACGAACGGAATTGCCCAGAGCGCATCTCCAGTCTTTGGCAACGATTCCAAGATGATGGAATGTGAGTAGACCGCTACAGCACAGGTCGCCCAGAGTTGCAACGCCGATGAGACCGGGTATTTGCAGCTGCTGCCAAAGAAACAGGCGGAGCACGCCTCAGACTTCTCGTCAGCTCTCTTCAGCCACTGGTACGACAATTTCAAGGTAGACCATGTACAAACGCTTAGGGCTGATTGGTCTATATGCTTGTAGACCTGTCAGATGCGTTCCACTTACTGCAAGTCATTGTCGCCTGCGGTTAGCCTGGAGTAGACAGCATGCATTGTGGACACCCCAACAGTGGGCCTGTGTGATGTTTTCCGACGAGTCCAAGTGTAGCTTGCAGTCTGATTCTCGCCGGACTTTCATATGGAGAGCTCCAGGTACCCGTTACCACCAAGAAAACATCATTGAACGACACCGTTACGGTGGTGCAGAGTGCTCGTTTGGGGTGGAATTATTCTGGTTCCAGAACTGACCTGCATGTTCAAATTAGAACCATGGCAAGCCAAATCTAGCGGGAGTCATTCTGAAACAACATGTAGTTTCTTCGGGGCGCCATGGCGCCAATTTGTGTTTTAGGATGACAACGCCAGTTCTCACCGTGCAAAAATCATAAGCAAATGCCTTCATGCCTTCAGTCGGAGGATATCACCCGTATGGTCTGGCCAGCATTCTCACCGGACTTGAATCCAGTAGAGCACGTGTGGGACATGCTTGCCCGATGAGCTGCAGCCCGTCAACCCTCCTCCTACATGTCTACCGGAACTTCGGAGAGCATTGCTTTTTTGAGTGGTGTAAATCCCCAAGATCAGATCGATAATTTGATACTCAGCATGCCTAGGCGTTGTAGGGACTAATATGCAATCGTCTGGGAGACATACAATGTATTAACATCATACCAACCATGTAATTTGTTTTTTTGTAAATAGGTTTTTTTTTTTTTTTTTAATTTGCTCCAGGGAGAAAAAATCGCAAATTTTTTTAATATATCAAAATATAGCATCTTTTTTTACTCTTTACCTTTTGTTCAATAAATAAGCTTTACAAATAAGTCAAATTTGTTTTGCTTCTAACTCTTCCTTTGCCTGATTTTACATTATCCTTAATTTTTGGACATGAGTGTACTTTCAAGTTGGACACACTTAGTTAGCCAAACAGCCCAAAAAAGCCAAACAGAAACGAAGCCAGCTCGGCCCTTAGAAAATACGAAAAAAAAAATGCAAGTAGAATGACTTTAATGGAAAAGTACTCTTCTCCAAATTTAGATTGTTCAAAAACTAGCAAATTTTTTCAGAACATTCTCCTCCTTAAAATTAAGAAAGCAACAACCTTGGGTTTGGTGTAGTTTTAGTCAAGAACTCTGTCGATTTTGAGGATAAACAGGTATAGGACCTCTTCATCAGGAACAAAGACTTCAAGACTGTCTCTTCTGTTTTAATTCTCTTCCTCATCCAAAATCATTTCTTTTGTACATGTCACTGAAGGTCATGTTTTTGTCAAAGTAAGTCGAAGTATGGCCATAAGGCTTTGTTCAGAACAACAGTTTTGTCATCACAAAGCTTTGTGGTTTAAGTCCATTCACACCTGCTGAACAGGGTTTTAAACATCAATAATCAGGAAATGGAAAGTTGCGCTGGCGTACATACGTAGCTGACTAAACGAAACCATCACTCGATGTCTGCTTCGCTGTGATTGGTGGTTCTTATACCAACTTGGCATGAAATTGAAAAATCGGAAAAGTAATATCCTTAAACCAATTTTTGTGATGTAGAAAGGTCTGGTTGCTTAGGAACAAAGCTGAGCTTAAACATGTCATGATTTTAAAACCACTGTGTAAACGAAGCTGAAGTTCAACATCAAAATCCAAGAAACAACACGTATAATATTCTTGTTAATAACATCGGCTAGACTGAAGATTAGGGTCCAGTCGCCAAATGAAGCGAAATCGCGTCTATTTTTTTTTTTTTTGGGGGGGGGGGTAAAGTGCAGAATCACCCCTTTGTTTGCCACTTTTTACAAGAGTAAAAAGAATTGGATTTTTGTCAATTTTCTTCGACTTTTTAAGTGAAAATAGGTCGATGTGTAAATAGATAAAGCGATTCTATAAATAGATAAAGCAATTTTTATGCAATTCTGGAAATTTTTTTTAAGTGAAAAATAGGTCGATGTGTACATGGATAGTCAGGGTAGTGCACAATGCCATTTTTGTGCAATTCTGGGATTTTTTTTAAGTGAAAATAGGTCGATGTGTACATGGATACAGAGTATGTGCAATTCTTAAAAAACGCGCCAAGCAGTGGGTGATTCTGCACTTTCCCCATTTTTTGCATGTTCACAGAATTAATTCAAATTCACAACCATCTAATATGCCGATATGATGAGTTAGCGATTTTCTAAAACGAGCGAAAATAACTGATTTGGAGACGTTTTGAAAATGCGAGAAACTGGACCGTAATATCAATACTAGACAGTTTGGGAACGCTAGAAATTTTCATTTGAGTGATTGACTGTTCCTCGGTGTTTACAATTGCAATTAGCAATGCTTATGGTACCAGCTGTTCATTTGAATGCTCATATTCATATAAAACATTAATTTATAGTCAGCATAGCAGTTACAAAAAAGTGGATGGAAATGTCAAATGAAATAAATAATGACTGTTTGTAAATTCTGGCGATTACAGATTCTTAAGGATAAAAAGCAATTTAAAAAAAAAATAATAATAACGACTGTTAAAGAACATAAAAACGTTGTTGAACAAAACTAACAAATATTTGCTATATGACTTAACTAATAATATTTCTGACACATAATATTTGTACAATTAATAATACATGAAATGAAAAACTCTTTATGGTACTATTCGGTTTCGAGGGCCGTAAAAAATTGCCAAACTATTGTTGATGCCAATGCTGCCAAAAATAATTGCTGCAAGAAAGGAAGTATAATAGTAAATAACTATTTAAGATTGATGTTCTAATTTAGATGAAAGGTTAATTTTATATACTACTTTATTATTATTATAATTTATATGAAAAAGGCTAAACACGACTGAATGGAAGCATAA